CCCGCCGTGTGGGGGCGTGTCTCCTCGGTTAGGGGCGGGCATCCCGGGCCCGGAGTAACCGCCGCGCCCCTCAGCGCCCGCCCCCGCAGCCAGCCCCGCCGCGGGACTGCGGGAGGGGCGGAGTCGGGAAATGTCGGGCCACTCCTGATACTCGTCCCGTTGCCAGGCTATGGGGAGAAGGCGGGGCCGAGGAGCTAGAGGAGCCGCGCTCAGCAGGAATCCGGCACCCGTCGGAGAGGCGGCCGCGCAGCCGCCCTAGCTCCCTCTGGGGCCTCCCGCTCCGCCCCAACCCTGGAGCCCGAGGCGCGCATGCGTCGCGCGAAGGCCCACCTCCGCCCCTCACAGGGCTCTCGGCAGGGCTTCCTGTCCGGCGCGAGTGGCTCCACGGTCGGAGCCACCCCGTAGCCGGTGAACCGAGCGGTCTCGAGAGAAGGGCGCGGGAGGGCAGGCGCAGGAAGAAGGAGCGCCGCGTCCACCGCGGCTGAAGAAAATGGTGTTCGAGTCGGTGGTCGTGGACGTGTTGAACCGGTTCTTGGGGGACTATGTGGTGAACCTGGACACGTCCCAGCTCACACTGGGCATCTGGGGAGGTAACGAGACTGCCGCCGCCCGCGTACCTCGTCTCTTTCCTGGGCTCCCGTTGCCGGAGCCAGGCCCGGCTTTCTTGGGGCCTCGGGCCCCTCGCCCGCCACCTGCCGCCGCCCTCGTTGGGGTCAAATTACGTAGAGCTGGGCAGCAGTTCCGGGGCCTCCGCTTGCGAGTTATTTTTTTGGCTGGAGGGGAGTGGGGCCGTAGGTGCGGGATGAAAAGAGTCCCCTTTTTCCGGCTGGGGGGCCCCGTAGTGGACTTCAAGGGTCTGGAGTTAAGATTCCGCAGAGGCGTCCTTTTCTGGCGCTCGCTGTCCGGTTTCAGCTGTGCTGGGTGAGGGGCGGCCACGAGACGCACCTGGGCTTGGTCTGGTCTTTGTCATTCCCGGACCCTCCCCCCCCCCGGGTTGTGACGGAGGCCCCGGGCAGCCCACGGAGTGTCGCACGCCGCCTCGCACGTGAAAGCAAGGCGCTGTGACCGAAGACGCCCTCTTCCTTCCTTCCTCAGCCTCCGTGAGTGGCTGAACCGTGACGGTTTCTCGGCTGCCCCTTCCAGGCGCACAACCTGGACTCCGGGTTGTTGGCCTGGGTTGGGCTGATAACATAGAGCGGAAACGCCTGTGCACATTAACTCGAACAGCTGGCTATGTGTTTTCAGTTTACAACCTGAGCCAGGAACGTGTCACGTTTGTAAGGGTTTGGGGTTTTGTGGTTCACAGTGAGTTACTGAATTTTTAAGAGACTAGGTGCGCTATGCAAGAGACGGGGATGAACCCGTCCTTACATTGCTTAGATGGTGAAGGACCGAAGCCTTACTTACTATCGGTTTATTCTGTTGCTCTTCCTTATTTGGAGCTTCATTTTTAGTGCTTCCACCTGTTTTGTATTATACCCTTATTTACTTTAAATACCCATTAGAAATTAGATTCCTTTTCCTTATGACATGACCCTTCCAGGCCAAAACTAGGGTTAATGTTTTGTGTGAGTGGTGTATTTTTTTTATTTTACTATTCTTAAATATGCACACACTTTGAGCCTTCTAAAATACTTGTTCTTCTCCTTTATGAAATAGTGTAAATAGGTAATTTAGTTTGATAAAGAAAACCTGTTACTACTGTTGGCATCCGATACCACATTAGAGAGTGGGACTAAGAACTAGGGACATAAGTGCTAGCTCAGCACCTCTGACTAGTACCAGAAACTAGCCGATGGCTTAATCTACGCTGCTTCTCATTTGCAAAATAAAAATAATAAAACTTATTATCACTTTTATTACTAACTCTCCACCTACCTCAGTAGGAAGCCTTGAGAACATTTTGTGGTATCCTTTGATCTATAGTGGAAAATTCATACTACATTCAAGGTGGAAATTTGTGTAGAGTGACTTATCAACGGATTTGTTCATTTAAAATTTTCACACAGTAAAATTCACTCTTAGGATGTCCAGTTCTATCCGTCTTGACAAATACAAAGAAGCACGTATCCACCCTCACAAACTTGATGATGAAAATTACATCAGGACCTCAATCCCTCTGCTGCCCCTTTATAGTCTACCGCCCAGTCCCCACTCCTGGCAACCGCTGATCTGTTTTCATTGTTACAGTTTTGCCTTTTATAGAGTGCCATGTATTTGGAATTATGTGGTGTTAGCTTTTGGGGTCTGGCTTCTTAATTTCACTCCTTTCACTTATACGAAATGAATTTGAGAGGCATCCATGTGTTGCATGCGTGCATCGGTATTTCATTCCTCTATTTCTGAGTACAATTTTATCGTGTGGATGTTCTATGTATGTTTGTTCACCAGTCCAAAGATGTTTCAGTTTTTGGTGATCATGAATAGAGCTACCATAAACATTCACATTCAAGTTTTTGTGTGGACATAGATTTTTATTTCTTTTTGAGATTTTGAAGTTGTAAGGGATACTCAAATTATGTGAAACTGAAACTGCTTTTCAAAGTGACTGTACCATTTTGCAGTCTCACTAGCATTGAATGGGGGTATGTAGTTGCTCTCCACCCTCACTAGCACTATAGTATTGCCATTTTAAAAACATCTTAGCCCTTCCAATGTGTATATAGTGATAAAGCATTGTGGTTTTAATTTATATTTCCTTAGTGATTGAGGGCGTTGAGCAACTTTTCATGTCAATCTTTGCTGTTTGTATATTCTGTTGGTGAAGTGTCTTCAAATCTTTTGCTCATTTTAAATTGGACTGTTTTTCCTTTTCTCTTGAGATTTAATTCACATACCATTATATCCACCCTTTTAAAATGTACGATTCATTGCTTTTTAGTATAATCACAAAATTGTGCAGCTGTCACCACTATCTAACTCCTGAACATTTTCAACACTCCAAAAATAAACCTCATACCTATTAACAGTTACCTCAGATTTCTCCCCACCCTGCCTCTGGCAGCTGCTAATCTACTTTCTGTCTTCTATAGATTTGTCAATTCCAGACATTACATTTAAATGGAATCACAATATACACGGTCTCTTGTTTCTAGCTTCTTTCACTTAGTATTATATTCTCAAGGTTCATTCATACTGTAGCATGTATCAGTATTTCATTACTTTTTATGACTGACTAATATTCCATTATATGGATATAACCTATTTTGTTTATTCATTCATCAGTTGATGGACATTTAATTTATTACTACTTTTTGCCTTTTATGATTACTGCTGCTGTAAACATTTATGTACAAGTTCTTTTGTGGGCATATATTTTTAATTTTCGTGGGTTTATACCTAGGAGTGGAATTTCTGAGTCACATGGTAACTTTTTTTACTGAGTTATAGTTACTTTACCATGTTGTGTCAATTTCTGGTGTACAGCACAGTTTTTCACATAGTAACTTTTGTTTAGACTCAAGGAACTTCCAAACTCTTCCAAAGTGTTTTCTTATTGAGTGTTGAGAGTTCTTTTAATATTGTGAATACAAGTCGTTTGTAAGATATGTGATTTGAAAGCATTTTCTCCCAGTCTTTTCCAAGTCTGTCAAGTTTTGCATGGCAAAAGTTTAACATTTTTATCAAGTCCATTTCATGAAAATTTCTTTGAGTTGTACTTTTGGTATCGTGCCTATGAAGTCTTTTCCTAATGCAGAGTCACAAAGATTTTCTCCTATGTTTCATTCTAGAAGTTTTATAATTTTATGTTTTACATTTTTATAACTGTAAAATTTCAGATCCATTTTTTATAAAGTGCAGTATAGATTGAAGGTTGGGGTTCATTTGTCTGCATGTGGATACAAATGCCCAATTTTTTTAGCACCAGTTACCTAAAAGAATATCCTTTTTCCATTGAATTATTTTTGCACTGTTAACAAAAAACCAGGAGACTTTGTATTCTGTGGGCTTATTTTTTAACTGTATCTGCTTCAGCAATCTATGTGTCCATATTTTCACCAAGACCACACATGTCTTGATAACTGTAGCTTTATAGTAAGTCTTGAAATCAGGTAGTGTGATCTCTAACTTTGGTGGTTACCATATTTTAAAAATAACATGTTAGTGTTTTATGCATAACAGTTGGTTATATTTTGATAAATGAAGATTTAAACAATAGCTAGAATTTTAAAAATCCTTTGAGAATTTAAAAAGCAGTAATTGATAAATTTAAAAATTCTTTGAAAATTTCAATAATTGAAACTAGATGCTGCATAGGAAAAATGTTAAGATTATGGACTTAGTATTTTATGGTCTAATGTCAGAAGGACCTACTAATTTTAAATGTATCTTTTGCTGGGCTTCTGTGTAACAATCCAGCTGATTTCACTATTAGCGTATGAATAGTATTAAGTAATATTCAGAACTTAAATTGATGGTTTCATGTGTAATAATGGAAAATTTGTTTCAGAGATGGTTCTTTGGAAATTAGAATCCATTTTTCCTTAGGAACATTATCATATATGAGTGGAGTTGATAAAAACTTGAATTACAATGCAGCAGAACAATGAATGCTACTATACTGGGTCCAGTACAGTAAGTAAGTAGACTGAGTGCTGGAAGCATCTATTTTGTGGGAGGGAAAAGAGAAATTGAGCTTTTTCTTAACCTCTTGGCAAATTCTGATGTTGGTAAAGTATAATTTTTATATGGTGTTATTTACAATTCTCTCCCCTTCCTATTTTATCATCTGTTTAGGGAGGTGGTAGTACTTCATCTGAGATTCCTCTCCCAACTTTGCTGAACTATCTAGCATTTAATATTTTCTTCAAGAGCTAGGGTGCATCAGAATCAGCCATGTATGCTTGTTATAAATACAGATTTTTAAAATTGCTTTCCAGATACTGTAATTCGTTTATCTGGAGTAGGACACACAAAATATTTGTTTTTAAACAAATGACACAGGGGATGGCTTGTGTGATAGAATTGTGATTTGTAACTTAGTACCTCAGTATTGTAGTTCTCCTTCTTGCTCTTTTTCTTGTTTTCTCCAGAATTACAATACTTGGGGAAATTTTACACATTTTTTGTTGTTATGTCTGACATCTTTAAGTAACATTAGAAGCTCAGATTTCTTCTTTTACACTTATATATTCTGTTTTTGAAATATTAATCTTCCAGTTTTCTCTCTATATAGTCTCATGTTCAGTGGCCTTTTAATGCATACCCCTAATGTAACAGTGGCTCTGTAGGAAGAAGAAGATTCAGTCAGGGCACAGTTGCTGATTTTAACAAATCATTCTTCTGTGATAGGAATATACTGGGGAACCAAACAAATGATTGTTTCAGTTTAGGGGAATTACCAATTCTAATTCCTTAAATATTGTTTTTACTTTTATGTCCTAAGATACTTTCATAGAACCTTAGAGCTGAAAGGGAACATTTTATTAGAAGTGTTCAAAAATACATCAGTGTTAGGAGATTTTACAGTCCACATCCATATACCCACAATCTAAAGTCTACCATCAAACAGCTTTATCGAGGTAAAATGGACATATAGTAAAACACACATATTTAAAGTCTACAGTTTAATAAATCTTGACATATGTAT